CCCTACTTCTTGCGGTAAATCTCATTTTGCTATGAACTTTTTGAGTAGATTAAATATGATGGTGAACAATCATATTGATGAAGTGTTATATTGTTTACCCGATGGACAGCCAATCAATAATTTCTTTGAAAAGTACACTGTTATAAGAGGAGTACCTGAGTTGGAATATTTTTCTGACCTCAAACCACGATTAGTTATATTAGATGACTTAATGAGTGCTACAGACAGTACCGTTGTAGACCTCTTCACGAAAGGTTCACATCATTTCAATGTGAGCGTGATTTTTATAACACAAAATATCTTCAATCAAGGAAAAGGAAAAAGAGATATTTCTCTCAATACACATTATCTTGTTGTATTCAATAACCCAAGAGATCGACAGCAAATAGCTACTCTTGCCAGGCAGATTAATCCTGAAAAATATAAATTTATTCTGGAAGCTTTTAGAGACGCCACTACTGAACCGTTTGGTTATTTGCTGTTTGATTTAAAGCAATCAACACCAGAACGTTACAGACTTCGGACAGCAATTTTTGACACTACTACACCGTCTAATGTAGTGTATATAAGTAAATAGGTGAGAAAAATGTCCGATTGTGTTTACTCACAACTTTATCTGTTGGATATACTATCTAAATCTACACCAAAAGAAAGAAAACACATTTTGAATTCCGCCAATTTTGACTTAATAAAGGCGATCGTGGAGTGTATTGATAACGTGTTAATTGGTATTGTGAAATTGAAGAAGTCAAATAAAGAAAAACTCAGAAAATATAAAAATATTTTAAGACGAGTTTCATCAGGCAATGAAAAAAATTGGGGAGAAAAAAAACAAATCTTGGTACAACAAGGAGGATCATTTTTGCATACTCTGCTTCCACCTGTTATTACGACATTATCTAAACGATTCACAAAAGGATGAAACTTGCAAAAAAGGTTAAGCTCGTTGAGTGTGAATTACATAATTCTAGTTCCAATAGCGTACATAATCCCACTCCAGTTAATTCTACATTACCTGATTCAGAATATGTGAAACCGAGAATATTATTTAACCTAGACGAATCTATGCATGAAATTTTACATCGTAAAAATATACAAGATCACGAAAAATGGCAAATGTATAATCAAGTACTCCAACGGTATTTATCACACGTTAAGAATATCGTCAATATTTCATCATTCGAACAGAACATCCACTCACAATCATGCAATGATACAAGTGATACAACTTCATTAGTTAGTTTACCATGGAATTCGACGATGAGTTTCTCAGTACCAAGCCCACATCCACATATCGAGAGTGAACTTCATCCTGTTGCAAGAGAATTATTCAACACAGCTCGTGAAACAGGTGGAAGAGTATCATTATCACCTATTAAGAATTCGCATTCTACCAGCAAGAGTGATCACAATCCAACTACAAACACAATGAACAAGAGATCACGTGACACGAGTGATATATTGTCTTCTAGAGCGTCTCTGTCTCCAAAGAGATTGGCTAGTTACAATACTGTTGCTGATATTGAAAATGAGATGTACCTTGATTCTACTGCTACCCAACCGGCCCATGTTAGATATTCAAGAAAACAAAAAAATAAAATTATAAAACGTCCAGAAGAATTTTTAAATAATATTAATAAACCGAATTTAACTAGAGCCGAGAGTACTGCTAATCAGTTACGCGAAAAACATAAAATTAATCCATGTTATGTAACTATTCCAGGTTGGAAATCATATGATATGAGTTGAATAAAAATGTGTTTTCCATGAGTAAAAAAAATATATGTCTTATTTTATTTTTATAAACTATGCTTTACTTGAATGAATATAACAGTCTTGTTTTACTTTTCATCGAATATGGAACAAAAAGGTAGTATTGATAGTCTACTTCAAGAATTATACTATGGTATTGATTCAACTTCAGCTTACTCTTCAGTTGAAAGACTTTACAATGAAATCAAGAGACGAAAAATTAAGTTGAAAAAATCGTATGTACAAAATTGGCTCAGTAAACAGCAAACTTATTCACTACACAGAAATAGAAGAATACGCTTTAAGAGAAACTATTATAACATTGTTAATTTGGATGACTTGTGGCAGATTGATCTAATTGATACACAAAAAATTTCGAGAATTAACGGTGGAAATAGGTACATACTCTGTGTTATTTGCTGTTTTAGCCGTTTTGCATGGTGTGTACCATTAAAGAGAAAAACTCCTAGTGACGTTATTACTGCATTTGACCATATCTTCTCATCAACATCAAGAAGACCTATTAAAATTCAGTCTGATGCAGGTACTGAGTTTTTGGGGAGATCAATACAGCAATATTTCAAGGAAAAAAACATTCAGTTTTATAAGGCACAAGACCCAGTCACTAAAGCAAGCATTGTCGAACGTTTCATAAGAACAATAAAATCGATTATTTACAAATACTTTACGTATACTGGGTCAAAGAGGTACATTGATGTACTTGATAGTCTCGTTTGCATTTACAATAACCGCATTCATTCCACGATAGGAGTGGCTCCAGTCGATGTAAACGATGAAAATGTATTAGCTGTGTGGGAGCATATACAAGAAGCAAGAGATCGGAAATTCGCAAGTTGTCGACGTAGTACTAAGTATCATGAAGGCGATATTGTACGAGTAGCCAATCCGAAATCCGTTTTTGAAAAAGGTTACACTGTCAAATGGTCAACTGACACATATTCCATCGAAAAAATAATTAAAAAAAAACCAATTGTATTTAGATTACGTGATAGTGACGGAAGTAAGATTAAAGGCAATTTTTATGAACATGAAATTCAGTTAATATCTCAGTGAAAATATAGTCATATTTCAGTTTAATTTCACCAAGTGTACGATCAACATGGACAACTTTTACATTACTTTGATGAGTAATAGTTCATTGAACTGTTTCCCACAAAATAAGTCGACCTCTTTTACTGTGCTTTTACCACAAAAAATAAGCTTAGCTGGCGAATGGGCTGTGGCATTAGCAGAATTGCATTACAATTTTAATTTTTTCAACGTCACAGAAGAGAACAATAAAATTGAAATAACATATGACGAAGTCAGCGAAAATTTGGAGAATGACATAAATACAAATGAAATAACCAAAGTGCATTCACCTGAATCCATGCATGATGAAATAACCGAAGTGTATTCACCTGAGTATGCAAAAAATCAAATTTGTGTCACTGAAATCGAACCAGGTTTCTACAATAATATTAGTGAAATAATAGTGGCAGTAAATTACGCAATTGAAAATTGCATTGGTGAAAAAAAAATTATTCTCGGAATTGATAAGTTAAATAACCGTACCACAATTGAAATTTCATCACCATCGAATATTCCAAACCATATAGCATTACAAGGTAGACTTGCTCTACAGTTGGGATTTAATCCAGGAGAAAACATTTTGAATTACACAAATTCACCGCAGCTTGGAAACACATTTTTTGGTATTCCTGATCAGATGATTATATCGACAGATATAATTCAACCTTCATTTGTTGGTGACGAAAGATTGTATATTTTAAAAATAGTCAACACTCAAGCCAAATTAGAAAAGTACGGAGATTCGTGCTATAAAGAGTTTCAAAATCTTCATTACACACCATTACAAAAACGTGAATTTGAAACCATATCGGTAAATATAAAAGGTTGAAACGGACATTTCATACCATTTCGTCACGGCATATTAACTTTAAAACTTCACTTCATCAAAAAAAATGAGTAAATCACGTGAACACGATGTTTACGCACAATATTATTTGCTTCAAGCCAATAACGGTATTAGTGCTGTTTATTCTTTACCAATGCATCAAAAAGGGTATGGTATCGGATCATTTTTTGGCGGATTGTTTCGTTGTGCTTTTCCATTACTGAAAAAGTCATCAGCTGCTGTAGGAAATGAAATAATGAAATCTGGTGCAAACGTGATTTGCGATATTGGAAATAATCAAGATGTTAAGTCATCAATTAAGAAACGAGGGAAAGAAGCAGTTAATAACCTCAGTAAAGTGTTTGGCGAAAAAATGTTCGGTGCAGGGTATACTACACAAAGCGCGATGAAACGTGTTCATTCCGATACATACCGTTGTGGAGAGAAGAAGCGTAAAGTTGATAGTAAAACATCGAAAACAAAACAAAGAAAAAAACCAAATAAAACGAAAAAACCAAAAAAAAAACAAAAAGACGAAGAAAGAAATATTAGATATATTTTCATAATGGCATTTATAGCGTCGCATAAAAATATCACAACAAAAACTGAACTAGATATATTTTCGACTCCACCTACTCAAAACAGCGTAGAGGGTGGTGTTACTGTATGTTATAGACCAATTTCTTCGCTCTCGGATTCATCACCAATAGAGTTCATTGTTTCGTCAAGCGGTGACGAATATATTGATCTTGCGCGCACCGTATTACACATTGTAGCCAAGGTAAAAGTTCAAAAAGACAAAAATGAAGTGTCTCCAATAAACAATTGGATACATTCCATGTTTTCTCAAGTCGATGTGTATCTGAACCAAAAATGTATAACACCTCCGTCAAATAATTATAACTATAGAGCCTATATTGAAAATTTACTGAATTATAGTGATACTGCAAAAAACTCCCATCTTGCGGGATCCATGTGGTATAAAGATACCAGTAAGTTAATGAACGATAAAAATAATCCTGGTTATGTGGAACGTAAAAAACTAATTGAAAATGGAGAAGTTGAAATGTATAGCAACCTACACTGCGATATTTTCAACTCAGATAAATTTATGATAAACGGTGTTGAAATGTGTGTTAAATTAATTAAAGCAAAAAATGAATTTCATTTAATTGGAGACGACAGTGGTGAAATAGAAATCGTTGAAGCTAATTTATTTGTGCGAAAAGTCAAAATAAACCCATCGATATTAATTGCACATGCTCGTGCGTTGTCTGTAGCAACTGCTAAGTATCCTATCACAAGAGTGGAGGTAAAAACCATTACTATTGGCAGTGGAATCCAGAGCAAATCGTTGGATAATATTTTTCTTGGTCAATTACCTAAAAGATGTATTATTGGGATGGTTGATAGTGGCGCATTTAATGGTTCACCGCATTTGAATCCGTTTAATTTTCAACATTTTAACTATAATTACTTGTCGTTATATCTCGACTCCACCCAAATACCAACAAAACCATTAACACCAAATTTTGCTAAAAAGAAATACACTAGAGAATACTATACATTATTCGAAGGCAGTGGTATAAATTTTGCAGACACAGGAAATTCAATTACACTTGCCGAATATCCAGACGGATACTGCTTAGCAGCTTTCGATTTAACTCCAGATTTATCTTGTAGTGATTCGCACTGGAATATTATTCGAAGTGGAGTGTTACGCGCAGAGATTAGATTTGAAAAACCGTTGGAAAAGACCATTACAGTTATATTTTTCGCAGAATTCGAAAATTTAATTGAAGTTGATAAGAATCGTAATATAATAATAGATTATAGCAGCTGAATTAAAAAAAATGAATACAATACAAATTAATACTTTAATAAATAAGTTTCAAAGAGGAAAAATATTCCACGGAGTTTTTCCTTGCGATGCATTACCCCGTAAAATATCACTTCCCTTTTTAGCTGTAGTGAATTTGTCAAAAAAGTTTGAATTAGGTACACATTGGATAGCAATATACATTGATGAAAATCAAGTAGGATATTATTTCGACAGTTTCGCAATCGCACCAAACAACAAATTCATTTTAAAATTCATGTATACACACACAATTGAATTTTATTACAATGTTGTACAAATTCAACATACTATTTCGACAAAATGTGGTCAATTTTGTTCTTCATTTGTTATAAGCATTCTTAATCAATGTAAAATCGAGAAATTTATTTCGAGATTCAGCACTAATTTATTCATAAATGATATTGTAGTAGACAACATGATAAAGTATTTTAACCATAAATAAAAAATGAAAAAAAATATTGTTGAACAAAAAAGCAAATTTTTATTTTTTCGTTTTCGTGAACAAATTTTTTCTTACAGCTAAATACTTCACTTGTATGAATTACCATCCAAACGGTAAAGTAAGAATTCTTTCATTACCGACTCGTTTTCTCTTCTTTGCATTAACTTTAAACGAATATTCCGTTTCTGTAGAAAAGACATAACTATCCTTTGTTCTTAAAATTTTCCTATCAACTAGCTTGACTATATCATCAGGTGAATTATGATTTCTGAGCACCATTTGCTTTAATGTATTAAAATTAATAATTTCTGTATTCTTTTGGTTCAATGTAATTCCTTTAACTTTACAAATTATATTTTCTTCATTATTTGGCGATATAATACGTAATGCGTAACTCTTTTCTGAACTAATAACAGATTCGGTAATATAGCTTCCTACACCATAGTCCTTTGCCAATTCATCTGTTAACTCACCTAGTAAATTACCAAGCTCTAGTCCTGTTTCATTCTCCTTCTGCGTATAAATCACCGAATCGGTATCATAATATAGGACACGATCACCCAATTTGTCTAGATATCGATATAAATGAATTCTTGCCTGAGCAGTAGTATATGCAGCAATGACTACATTCACATCTGGTTGAATGGGTGCACATATATCATGATAGCGATACGAAGCGAGAAGTGAAGTATCAGATAGTGGAAAAAGTGACTGTACTTCTGTTGATGGATTTGTGATTAGCTCTAATAACTCATCTCTCTGTGAAATAAAACATTTCTTACTTTTATTTGGTTTCATACCATATCTTCCCCAAAACGAATTCAACATAATTTTTGCTAAAGCCCTCAATCCTTCATTGTACGAAATTTTGTCTTTTTCCAATAGAATTCCTTCTTGATCGAAAAAGTGCTTAATGTATTCATTTTTTTGTTCATCAGACTCAACTCCCGGTGGAAAACCTGACGCCTCTGTTTTTATTTTCAAAAATAAATTCACATATTCCGAAAAAAGTCCACCAGATTTCGTTATTTTGTTATATTTTGACATTTTGTAGTTCCAAGCTTCATAAATCGTATCTATTTTATAACCTTTTTCTACTGCTACACAAAGTTCATTACTAACGTATGTTCCTATAAATGATCTTTCATCTTCAGTGTGAATACAATCATTTTCATTTCTTTTTTCACCACATTCGCGACATAAAACAAACATCAGGTAATTGTCCATTTTAATTGGAAGTACTGGATGAATTAAATTTCGCGGTGGTATTATACGACACTTAATTAAGCCGTTTATGTTGAAGACATTACGATTTTTTAATTTATCACCAAGAAGGACTGTGGGTATACCCACTGGATACTCACAGTATTTGTTAATATAAGGATATAACGAAGTGACGTCGTAGTAATGTATTTTTTCTCCAGGTGAACATTTATGGTAAAGTCTACACACACCCGTACGTCCGCCGAAAAATGCGTCACGTGGTACAAGTGGCTCAGATTTTAAATGCGGGAGAGTAGAAAGATATTCTGTAATTACAGGCATATCACGTACCAATTGATCAAATTCGTGTTCCCAAATTTCTATCAGATTATATCCTAAGCTCCTGATCTTTTCTGCTCTTAGCATTGTGTTATCGTATAGTACACTAGCAGGCATTTTCTTTTCTCCTGGTAATGTATGGTGTTGAAATGGATAACATTTTTTACACATATGCCACCAGCAGCCGTGAAACGAAAATACTGTACGTGTGGGTTCGTGATATCCGTCAACAACTATATGCTCGTTAATTCGAACTTCGCGACCATTTGATGCGGATATAATATTGATATTTCGGTTATGTGCTTCCCACTCTAACCAATTAATTGCTTTGAATGATTGATTATCGCGTAACCTGTATCCATGGCGTGGCAATATAGGTATCATATTTTCTTCTAAAAAGTTGGTTTTATAAACCTTCATACATGTGGAAGCTACAGTAACTTGATTGAATGGATCAACATGAGTGAGAGGAATCATCATTGAACGAAACTTCAAACATGCTAATCGTAATATGGTGACATCTTGGACACAATATGCAATCAATTCTCTCTTGTTATCAAATAAAATATTATTTGCTGATTCTTCATTGTACCATTCAATAAATTTTTGTTTATCTTTTGGTTTCATGGAATCTGGATCATAATATTCGATATTGGGAATAGGTCCGACATAATTGAAATTTTCAGCTGTGTTGAAATAGTGCGGATAATGTCCCTTACTACTGGTATTCAAACTAAACATTTTTGGAAGTTTTGATAAAGATGTGGCAAAAAAATTCAAAGAATCAATGAAACGGTATCTTCCTATTTTAATTTGAAGTATTTTCGTTCCATTCATTATCAAGGAATCCTCTTTAATTGGCCACGAATTTTTGTGATTATACATATATCGAAGAATCCAGTGACCATCAAATTTCTGCATATTGTGTGCTATTATTATTATTGATTTAAATTTGTCAGGTAAATTACCAAGTTGTGTCATAAATTCGTGTATTATATCATCTTTATCGAAAATACAGTGTCGAACACCGCAATTTAAACAATACTCGTCTATATTTTCACTCGAACAACAAATTCCACATGAATACTGTGCTACACAAAGATTTACTTTATGCTCAAACTTATCTTCATTATCAAATAGTGTAGTGTTCTGTGTAGTTTCCAAATCATAAAAAACAAACAGTTTATCTTCGTCACTTTCTTCTTTTGCTGCTTCTTTTGGAATAAAATGATCATGTCGAATAGGTTTAACTTCCTTACATAAGTTACAAAATTTTTCTCCACAGGCGTGTGGATTATTCCAATCACATTTATATCGTACCAAACAGTTGAAACAAATCCTTACATTCAAACTCTGGTGTCTTTATGTCTCTGAAAACAACTTGCATTCACAAAAGATCGATTACACTCGTTACAATGAATTTCTATCGCTTTTTCACAAGGTGGATTAGCAAAACATCTGTCACATTGGAAGCTGCATCCCATATGTGAATGTCTAGTTGCATATGATTCAGCACAATACTCACAAAAATAAGATGTAGCGAAAACGGCTGTGAGCGATTTTATAACTGAATAATGACCGTCATCTAACAGTAGACTTATTACTTTTTTATTACGTAATGGAGAACGATAATAAAGTGAACTACCTGTACGTGAATTGTAAACGTAAATATTATATTCACGTTTCAAATATAATTGAAATTTTTGTATCTCTTCATATCCACATCCAAGTGATGAATCTACATCAGCCGCAGTTGCTATTTGGTTTGCCTCATGAACCAATTCGTCGTGGTTTGGTGGATAAGTTAGAAAATTATACCTATTGATACCATCGTTCCCATCCGCTACGCTCATTCCAACTACTATTGCTACAGGTAAACAAATATTACCATCATTTTCTTTAAGTTTCGGGACATAAAGGGATTTTTGATGGACTTTGTAGTATTTGTCTTTACTTTTTCCTATATTCAATGCTCTAGCACCACCTAATGGCACCCTAACTACATCTACTTTTATAATGAGAGTGTCATCTATCAAAAACTTTGTATTACTTTGTAGTACACTATCTAAAGCATTTAATATGAATCTGGGTGTATACTGATCGAATCTTCTAAATGATATTCCGAAATCAATTTTCGCATTGCTTGAATTTGAAAATGTAAATCCTACTCTATCTTGGTTTTCAATATTCAACTTTTTTTTCACGATTGATAAGAGTTGTCCAATAGAAGTAAGCATCCAGTAATCGAGGTTCACCAGATCGGGATTAATCAGTTTTACTTCCATACGCGTACCGATTGTGTCAAATCTTTTGTATTCACGAGAAATGGATGATATTATTTTAACGAAGTCATTATTTTTATCTACATTTCCTCCACCGTGTTGAATTGGTTCATCGCAGTCACCATTCTATCAAAATCAAATTGAAAAAAAACGAAAAAATCATTATATTTTTTTCAAATAAATTAAAAAAAAAATATTTGTTTCGCTTACGTTTGAATCCGTATCGAAACCATTTTCATTAAATGAAAT